GCGCGGCGCGACGTGGGCTGGGTGTGACAGCCACCTGCCTCCACCCGCGTTAGCATCCTCGTGGCCCAGAAATTCATCAGGATTCACCCAAGACGTTTCGGAGAAGGTGGTAACAAAGCTGACTCGGGCAGAGCAACGTGTGTGTGGTATTGGTTCTCGTCCTGTTCTTCTATTAGAGAAAGGCTTTGTTTTGAAACAAGAAGTTTCATATTTCTTGTAACGTTGTAATTAAGTCTCCATATCCTTGGTGCTATCCATCATGGAGGTGAGAGCCTATTGAATATTGACCTTTACAACTTCCGATGGCAATGGATCTTGTGGTCTAAATTACGTTCTATAACTGTAGATTTCATAATTTGGAAAGCGACCGTGAAGTTCAGTATCTGCTCAAAAAATAAAAAGAAGTGCTTTGGGCACTATTTTGAAAGCAGTCTTCGAGTTTTTAACTGTGTGTGCTCACGTTTGGAAACATTGGTTTCTGTGACGGAGACGAGGAGAGAACTTGGAGCTCCTGATTCTTTGGGAATATCTAGGCCACACTGGGCAGTGAGGTGGTGCTATCTTTGCTAGAATTAAAGACAGCTTAAAAGAGCAGAATCAGTCCATCCAGGCTGGAGCAAAGCGCTGATCTTGCTAATATCACAGTGCTGTTTAATACCCAGATGAGCTCTCTTTTCATACTGAAGACATTTGCTATAAAATGTTTCAAATTCCTCTGTAGTCGTTCATGTACCTACGTGATTAACCAACACATCGTTCCGTGCGTCTGGTTTTAGTGTGGCAGAATTACCTGAAGGTGGTTTCTGACGAGAGATAGCAAGCAGCTTTTGTCTGGAGATGGTAGAAATCTCGGCTGTAGTCATGCAGGGTTTGTGGGGTGCAACAGCGACGTAGGATCTGAAGCATTCAACTGAGTCATTTATAATCTCAGATCATGGAATTTGCTTTCAGTGAAATTTTGAGGCAGAGAAGAAGCTGATCCTGCACTGTCCCCAAATCAACGCCAGTATTTGTCTTTTTTTTGATTGTTTAGCAGTGTGTTTTGCAGCTTTATTTTAGTATGATACGTGACTTTTTAATCTTCAGCATCCTCCAGACTGGGGGCAGTAATGACCGCTGCGTGGAATGTGTCTTGGTTGTAGGAACTGTGAGTCAGCACCCCTTTATTTTTTTGGTTGCAGCCATTGTTCCCGGAGCGAGCTTTACTGCTATTGTCCACTGTTTGTCCAGCTCACGTTTACTGGACTGTGGGAACGGATTAGGGTTTCATGGCTTTTTTTTCCTTCTTGCATAAACTCTTGATCAAAGACATTCCTTGGATGACAAAACACTGTATACTGTGTCACACAGTCCTGACCAGACTGCACGAACAGTAGTTTAAAAACACATGCCTACATTGTTCTCTTTTTTTTTGTTGTCGCAATGTATGTGCAGACACTGAATTTTTGAGACCCCCCCTTTACCACCTCAGAAGTAACTCACATGCAGAATGTGTTTTTGGTAAGCGCTTGACAGTTTCTGAAATAAAAAGGAAGAATGAATATTAGTACTTGGTAAAATTAAGGATCTTTGTAATAGCACATCTTTTTTAAGGACAACTGGAGGTTGCATCTGCTGCATATTTCCTTCTTGAGGAGACCTTGGGCATTGTCCAGTTAGCTAGCACCGTTGTAATTCTAAAAGCACATGGACTTAACAGCATCTTTCGTGCTTTTTTTTTTTTGTCATACTCACAACAACTGAGTAATACAGAGAGTTGAGTGCCAGCTGGGAATTTATAGGCCCGCTTTGCGATAGGTGCCTTGTCCACACTGCCCGTTTACAGCTGTAGCTCGTGTTTCCTTCTAAGCAAGTTCTGTTCTGTGAATCATGAGGCCGGACTTCACAAAAAAACAGTAGCATCGTTACTATGAGAAATGGTGAGAAAGAAACGTTATCACATTACAGAGAAAGATGCGGAGAGGTGTTTTCAGGTTTTTACATACAATTTCTCCTCCCCTGGCAGAAGCTGGGGAGAAGCCCCCACAGGTGTTTGCAGGGGCGCTCACTCTGCAGTTGAGGAGCATCTGTGGCCTGATTACAGGTCTGATGCGGTTACAGGTCTGTCCAGAGTCAAAAAAAATGAAACAAATGGTCTGATGTTTATAGTTAAGTCTTTGTGTCTGTACATATAAAGCGACACGGCAATCTGACATAAGAAGGTCCAAGTAAGTTAGCGCCCAGCCTGGCTGTGTGTGGCTGGCGGCTGCAGCCTGTGGCAGTGAATTGCTTTGCGACCATGCGAGTAGCACTGGCATCATTCACCTCGCCTCCAGGCTTAGCGAGATGCCTTCAGAGGGGTTGTTGGAGAGAGGAGGAAACTCTAAGTGGTGGCTCAGCCTCCACAAGCTGAGCTGCAGCCCGGCTGTGTTTGAAGTCTCCGTGACTCCACCCCGTTAGATGGTCTCTTTGGGTGTCTTTTGAACTAACCGTAGTGGCCTCCCACCAGTGTGACCCGAGTGCAGTGAGGAGGTGCCCACTTCCAAGGGGAAGAATTACAGCTCCGTACCCTCCAAGTGGACGCAGCTGCATATGGGGAGCTGCGTCCCGGCCGGCAGTTACTTCACGTACCTCATCCTACGGCTGTGATTTTGCACTGGCCACATGGCTGCTGCCCAGCTGAAGTGCCAGGCAGGCCGACCGGCGCCGCACGGCAACTGACTGATTCTGCTCGTGTCTGTGAAAAAATTCCTGCTTCCTTTGTACTTACGGAATCAGCTGTCATGCAAAATTGAGTCAGGAGGCAAATGCTGTATTTCTGATTCAAGACAGGAGACAAAAATGCACGACTTTAGGTGGACCACTGTTTTTCTTAAGGCAGAAATGAAATCATACTTTCACATACTTTCTTAGGCTAAATATTTGATGCATAGGTGAGAAGCCTGACTGTTCTCCACCAAGGACAAGGAGTAGCTTCTGCTGTGTCTGGCTGTGACTATGAGGCAGTGTATTCCCAACTCCAGGCACTTACGGTGGAACGTGAATTGGGACATAGCACTAACTGAACCTAATCTTAGTTTTTAAATAATCCTATGTAACTGTTCTACCATTTCTCATTTTAAGCCTTCTCTTTACATTACATTTTCTAGTGGGTTCTGAATTTTTTTCTACTTTATCATCAACATTAGCGATAAACAGAAACATGTAATAGCTGTATATGGGGGGGGGGAAGGAAAAGAAGCCACATTAACCTTACTGCTTTTAAAACAAACTGTTCTCCATAGAGGGTTCTAGGACACAAAACCTTGCACTGATAAATAAATACAAACAAGCATTCTGTAGCATCAAACACCTACTTTATTTTACCTTTATTGAAAATAACCACCAAAAGGTATTTTGCGCTCAGTAATTACCTTAGATGTTTAAAGGAAAATCTTCTGTAAAAGTATATTTTGTTTTTCAAAATACACATTACTATGACAGGCACTCACTTACCCATTACTTAAAACACCTACAGTTTCATAAAATAACGATAAAAGGATTTATTGCAACTATTAACTAAAAGATGCATTGCAACTATTAAAGCATGGACAGTCAACACTAGAAAAAACATGTTGCTTACTCGTTGCATCAGGTAGTTACTACCATTCAGCATTTGTGAATGTAATTAAAAAAAAAAAAAACACAACAAGCAGACTTTGGGTTTTACCAATTTTATTTCTAGACTTTAGGTTTTTTTTTTTTTTTTTTTTTTTTTGCTGGACACTTGTCTGTTACAGGTCTGTGGGTGAAAATGTGCATTTCAGACCAGTGATGCCAATAAGTACAATATAAAAAATGTACAAATCTGAATTGCTTGCTTACTACAGATTGTTATAATATAATGTGAGAAATAAAGCATCTCTGTTGGCACATGAACCCACTGATCTGGATTTGGCCTTTTAGTACATACAATATTTAAAGGAATTTGCAGTACGCACTGCCTCTCAGTGTAACACATAATATAACCAGTAACCACTAACTCAACATCATCAGGTTTGGTTCAGAGACACAGAGATGCCACAAACAGAAGTGTTCATGAGGTAAGCAGTAAGAAATGTTCCTGAAATTTGGACAGAATGTATCCAGTCCTCCTGGGTCCTGCGACTGCTAGTAGCATTGCAATGCTTCGTTTATGCACTAGGTAGGATCTTAACTGCGTCTGCCCTCAAAATTGAGTTCTAATTCTGTTTTGGTTTAGCAGCATACAGGCAACAGCTAGATTATTCTTCAGCATACAACTCTGTTAGCTGGCTTATTTATGAGATTTACAGGCTTTTTTTAAATTAGCATTATGCTATAATTAAAATAACAAAACAAAACAAAAACAAAAAAACCCTAGTATATCATAACAGATTAAACACACAAAATACTTAAAGAGTTCCAGAAGATAAGCCTATCATGCCAAATGATGCGTCCCAACTGGTGGGAAACCACATCAGCTGGCACGTAAGAGTTACATTATAATGCACCTTTCATATATCAATGTGGCTAATAACACATCTTAAAACTACTATGATAATAAACCCCAGATCAGACAAAGAATCCAGCTTTATAAAATGCATAACAACAAAAAAACTGACATTACTTGATCTTCTGAAATGTCTGCTGTTTTTAAGTTAATGCAACCTAGTTGCAAATCGCGAGACCCATTCAGAATAACGTTCGATGCATTTCAGTTTGCAGTAGAACTACGAGGCACTGTGTACGAACATTAAAACCTGGTCTAGACACGGTTAACTGAAGTATGAGGTATTGTGAAACAGGAACCTTTTTTGGAATAGAGCAGTAATCACATTAAGTAAAAATTGATCACATAAAAAATCTACAAAAAAAATGATGTCAATAATATAATTTTCTATGAGAAAATTAAAACCTATAACATGGCAGTATATGACATTGTATAACAAAAAAAAATGATCCACAAAATAGCAGCAAAACACAATGACAAAGATACAGAAAAGCAATGTTAATTTTTCTTTCAAACCATGCTGGGAATTTATCCATAGCAGCTCAATAAAAATGGAGCATCCACTCCTTTTCTTTCTCTTTTTCTTTTTTTTCTTTTTATTGTTTTTTTTTTCCTCTCTTGTTTTCCTTTTTTTTTTCTTTTTTTTTTTTTAAACAATCAACACCTTAGCGGCAGTTTTCTCACATACATTTTACCATCACATTCTCCTCGAGCGTCAACTTCAACAGCTATGTCCACGTCCCTTCAGCTACTTTCTAAAATAATAATAAAAAGATACATAGCCAAGATGTGCAAATTTTCTAGTTGTAGCTAAATTAAAACGAAAAAAAAAAAGGGGAGGGGGGACATACTGGAATAAGAACTTCTTTCAAGTACTCCAATTCTCATGTTGTAACTATGGCGTTTCTCATGGTTAGACTGCTTTTGAAAATGAGTAAGAAGGGGCCAAGTAGACTGTTTTGTTTTGAGTTTGTTCATTGAAGAGTGTCCTTTTTTCTTTAGTAAGCTGTTAAAACTGCAACATCAAGGGTAGAAAGATTATGCTTTTTTTAAAAAAAAAAGGGGCGATTGCATTATTTTAAAAATCATACTGGCCTTATGAACATCCTCTGTAATAAATATTCATTCTTTTTTAGCCTTAACTATAAATTATATATTTTAGTGTTCAAAAACCTTCAGTTGTAAAATATCTAGAGACAATCCTTAAACTATGTGTCCTATACGTGAACCTTTAAGGCCCCTAATTAACAAAGATGAGTTGGCACCAAAGGATTTCTAAACTTCGACTTTTCTATAGAAAAGGATAGGAAGATATCCTGGCAATTTGTGAATGCAATGTCTCTCGCTGGAACACAACCTTCGGAAAAAAATCACCTTTCCTCTAACACCATAGTTAAATGCACTTGCTTTGCAATTCCAAGTTTGCGAACAAGCACTTATATATTTCCAAACCATTCCATTAAAAAAAAATTCCCACACAATAAAAGAATGTATTTCCTATATATCCAATAGACTGAAAGTGCTTTGAATGGAATGGTTTTAGAATATTATTAAAAAAAAAAGACTAAACTGTGGATTGAACCTGACGATAATTAGGTTGAATATCTGTGGGGTCAGACCAGCATTTTTACACAGGTAACTACAAAAATATGAAGATTACAAAAATATAATATATTATGTCACTATTTCGGTTTCTCTTTATAATAGAGTATCGTATGAGTAGTACGTGGGCCTCTCCCGACAATGCTAAGCTGGAACCCTACAAATGCCTCATGTACAGGCAATCCACAGGCAAAAAAAAAAGATTAACATATAATAATGCTGTATACTAACATATACTAACTTATGGGTTACGTTAACCATTTATAAGGTGAAGAGGATAAAAAAAAATAAAACTAAAGGAATAAAATAAACATTTACAGATGAATTATAAAGTGACTAAATGCATAAGCAAGCAAGATACAGAAAAGCCTAGAACTGCGTTAAAGCTATGCTTTTTTAAAGAAAAAAAAGAATATTTCATTTACTATCAAAAAAAAAAAGGTAACCCTCTTCTACTTTAAAAATGGTTGGTTGGTTGTTTTATATGTAAGAAATCAAATCTAATACCTCCCCTGGAGACATTTTGTGTGTTAATGCCTATTTTTACAACATACAGACAAGAACACTTTTAATATAAAAACTAGTTGATTATTATTGTATAAAATCTTCTATTTTTGTAGCACAAACCCCTGGGGGTAATGCAAATACTATTTTTTTCTTTTTTTAAGACAGTTTTTTGGGTATTTTTTGTTTATTTGTTTGTTTGAAGTCACAGATGGAAGGGAGACAGAGCAAGGAAAAAAAACAAGAATGGTTTTCCCTTCTGGTATAAAAATGTCCTGGAGAAAAGGGTTTCTGGGGTGCAGATCCTGACGCTGATTCCTTCTCAGATGCCCTTTCTTTCTCTGCTTTTCTTGCCAAGCAAACCCCTTAGCAGAAGTCCTCTTAAATGTTCACATCTCGCACATCAGTAGGTGTGCAGGAAAGGTCTGCTTCGTCCTCTACAGTCTTTGTTTCTGAAGATACGTTGTGTTGCTGTGCCTGGCGTAGACTGGATTCAAGGAGGGATTCGATCTGTTCTTGGCAGGCTCGTAAACAATCCTAGAGAGGATTAAATGGAAGGAGAAAAAGACCCAGGGTCCTTTAGAGATCACAAGCCAAGTACCATTTCTTGAAGAGGCAAGAGAAACACGATCAAATTCTCTGGGACGCAGCAGGCTGAAAGGAGCGGGGGAAGCGCGGGAGGAAGACTGAGCAGCGGAAGGATGGGCCAAGGTACCAAATTTTCTGCAAGCCGCCAGCTTGGATCTAGACCGCAGCCGCTTGGCTGGAGCTGCTCTGATGCTGTAATGATTTCTGCTCTAACCATAGAACTGCCTTGGCAGTGCACTCTGCTCAACACAAACAGTGGTCTTCCCAAGCATGAGTCTTGACGCTACCAAGTTGTTGGATAAATATGCTAGCTGGGTAGATGTACAGGCCCTAAGTCCCCAGCCAGCAGACACAGTCACTCCAGCAGTGGGCAGCTTCTTATGTTAGCCAATTCATTTCCAACTCAGAAAGCATTTGGAAAAAAAAAAAATCAATAAAAGGGACAGCCTATATGAGCCCAAAACGCAGACCGCTCCTTCCTGGCTGCCCCAACGTGTGGTTCCTAAGGGAACCTTCCTAGCACAGCGCCGCGAGGCTGAGGCGGTTCCCTCGGCGCTCCCGCGCGCGCGAGGGCCTCGGCGCTCGCACCGGCTCCGCGGGGTTGAAAGCCCAGAGCGGATCACGGCTGCTGCGGGAAGGAAGGGCCCTTCCCGCGACAGTCAAGCGGCCAGAGCCAATTCCGCACACGGCAGCGCTGCAGCCAGCCTCGAAGGGCCCGTTAGCGCAACCTGTCCAGCCTGCTGCTGCGCAGGGCTGTGTGTTCCCCCATGAGCCGTGTCGTGAGGACGCAGAAGCGGTGCCTTCAATGGGGAAAAACATCACCCTACATTTTGCCACAACTCCTTCAGACGGCTGTTTACTCCTATCTTTATAACAAACACCGTAAGCTTTTTCTCAACATATTTAACTCTGTGTAGGAAGGACTTTGAAGTTTCCTTTCAGTCCTGCCTTCTCTGATTTAACCTATGACATGTGTTAGCCCTTGCAGTGAACCCAGTCTTCCATGATAAATTGCCGTCAAAAGTGTTAGGATGTGCATGACTGAGAATGAATGTTGTTTTCCTGAGAGGGTGACCTGCCTGCTGTTTTCTTTATTTCCCGGTTTCAATTCTGCCTTCATTCAGAGGCTTCTTGTGTGATCTACCAGCTTTTCACCGGTTCCACTGCCACAAGAATCTCCACTGCCACCAATAAGGGCACATGGCATTTGGGGTAAAATAAGATTAGAAACTCAAGCAAACAATTCTCCACAAGCCCTTTCTGAGGGAGAGGGAGGTTAATCCTACCTCTAAGCAGATCAGACCATCAGTTACAGCTCACTGAAAACACATAACCTATGACCTTTCCTGGTTTAAACCCTAGTGTAATATTTCCTCTTGACAGAGACACACAGCGTTTTAAATGACAAAAAGCAACGCCTCATATCCTAAAGCCATCCTGCCTTCGGCTCCTACATACCTCTGGCCTCCCCAGGAAGACTTGTGCCAAGCCCCTTCGCCCCTTCCAGGCCCGCACGGGGCCGGCCTCGCTGTAACTCCCTTCCCGTGCGGGGCTCTGCGCCCCGCTCCTGCCGGCAGCCAGCTGGGTCACCGCGGTACGGAGGGACAGCTCGCGGCCTCGACGGACGCCCAGCGCCTGGGAGGCCAGTCCTATCCAGGTGGTATGGCCAGTGCTACAGACTGAAAGGTGGTTTATTTTTCCGAGCAAATCACGTCCTGGTTCCGTTCTTTTTGTTTTGTTTTGGAAATGCTACCATTTGATGATAGCATGTTTGAGCTCTGAAGACCAACATGCGAAGTAATTGAAGTGAACTAAGCAGTTAGCACGCTTTGCAAACTGCTAAAAAGGATTTCTGTAAGTACCTACTCTTCTGCCTCTGGAGTCCGGTCATGAATAACTACACTGCACTATTTAATTTAAAAGTAATTTTGACTACTATTTTTTTTCTGTGAGATTCTGAGAGAACATTATGTTACAACACTACTTTTTAAAAGATATATAACCTTTACAAATTATTATGAACAGACTGTGTCCTAAGCTACAGTTCAGTGCACAGCAATTTTTGCAATGTCTTGGGCGTTTTTGTCCAAATCATTTTTGCTCAGATAGCTATCGGCCAAACAGTTTGTCTGCAGAAACAACTCAGAGCTGGCAGAAATAACTGCAAAATATAAAATTCACTGTGAACAATCCCACCGGAGTAGTTTTTCATTCTTGTACTTCTCAGTACTCAAAACCAAATGCAAGACTTGTGTGTTACTCTGATAACTTCTCCCAACAACTTTTCTGCTTCGCTACCCAAATTTTCAGTGCCCACAGTTTGTTCAAGGTCATAAACCCTTCCTGGATTAATTAAGCTTCTCAGTGAAAAAAAGACTTGCTAGCTTAACTGATGTGGTCAAATACCTTTAACAGACACAGCAGACACCATCCGACTCCAGGGTCAGGTACAAAAGGAAACAAACAACAACAAAAAGAAACTGCTTGGAAATCCTTTGTTCCTGCCTGCCCTGTCCTGGGCAATGAGCACATGTTTGAAGGTGCCTCTGAGTAGGAGACAAATTCCCGTGTCCTAACAGACAGCAAGGAAACCCAATCTCATCCAGTCTAGCAAATTTCTGGCCTGGAAATGAATGTCAGGTAAAATTCCATCTGTTTGGATGATGGGGTCAAGAATAGAATGATGGAAGACAGCCCAAGACTTCTAATTGTGATTATCTGACTTCTAATTACCCCTGATCAAAGGCAAAATGGGAAATTGGACTCCCACCAATATAAACATGAACCATAAAGGAATTCCAATCAGGTGATATTCGTTTTACTTTAGATTCAGCCTTCTTTGAAACTAAAGGTAAAAAAGTATGCTTATATAACCTGAAATCCAGCAGACCAGCTGCTATAGCTAACAGATGATCAGGCAGAATGTCAGCCACGTTCTTATAATGCATGCTCGTAATATTTCAGGACACCCAATATAAAACATATTCGGTTGCACAGTTGGACAAGAGGACCCATCCCTGCAGGGTAACAAGCTTCACACAGGTGTTGAGGTTTCCTAGTCCTGGTTGCATAGGCATGTCTTCCAGGACATCCCAAGGCAGGAAAATTGGGCTGAGTGTGAAACCAAGCAGCTTTCCCCACTCGAAACAGCAGTGAGAGGTGTTGTTCTCTCATTCTGATACGAACCCAAGAGTGGCAGTAACGTCACTCTGAAACACCACGCAGGAACTAACATGGAAGTAATGCTTCCGGTTCTGGGGTACTTAACTTCGGTACAATTCTGTGATGATTCTGATTTTCTATACATAAAAATATTATTTCCAATTCCTGCTACTCTAAAGCGTAAAGCAACAGACATTAGAGAGTTAATTCTTCTTAAAGCTCTTAATTTTAAGTTCAGGTCACACAGATTGTGGCCTTGCAATGACTCTGGACAATAAAAAGAAATAACCAGCAATTACCCTTCTTGTTAAAGATACTTTCTTCTCTTTTAAAAGAGCTCCAACATCAATGAAGTCAAGTCACATAAGGACATGCTGTTGTTCCTCATGATGAGAAAATCTATATTAATGCTGTGTATCAGGAATTATTAAATAATATTTTTGTTTGCATCAGATATTCACTATCAGTACAGATAGCAAGCCTAGGACTTTTCCTAAGTACCTGCTTTGAATATCTTGCACTGGATAGAAGCCAACTGCACACTGAAACACCTACATTGTTCACAACCTCACTGAAAGCGTTACAGGTGCAAGCCCAAGTGAGCAGCAGGATGTTTACAGCATCTTACTTCACCATTGCAGTTGCTCATAGTATTTAATGTTTCAGTGCGGGATCCATACTACTTTTGCTGTAGTAATATAAAAGGCAAAAATAACAAGCTAAATATTGAGGCATTGTTCAGGTGAACAAAATCATACGCTATGGTACAGTATTTGCCAGCATTTGCTTCCCACAGATATTCTATCAAATTACTCTTTTATGAAGAATTCCTGGTGATGCATTCATCTTTCCAGAAATTGTTCAATCTTGTTGACAAAAGTCCAATTATACTAAATTTGTTTTGAAGTGCCTGGACTAAGACAGCTCTCCCTATATTCAAATTATGAACATGTAAAACAATTTAACAGCATCTCAAAGATTGTGCCGCTAGCCACAGGGTTGTCTTTATTTGACTCATTGTCCAGTGCTTGGAGACCTCACAAGAACCTTTTTAAAGCATCTATTTATTGGTCTTCCACATTGTTACAAAACAAAGCTCAACTCTGCCCCAACTTCACACACCATTATGACATGGATCATTGACTTTAGGTCTTCCTTGTAGGCTCCCTTCCTGGCCCATTCACTCATGAAAGGTTTATTGCTCACTAGTTACTGATGTGCATCTCCTGGAAGCTGCAGGGCAAAAGGAGAGTCCTGTGAGGACCATCTACCTTGTCAGAAAGTCGTGGGACAAACGTTTGTTCCAAAAAGGAATTCAATACCAGCTACTGTGCAGGTCTAGCACGTAATAAACCAAATTAGATCATTAGAACTCTTTTAAGAAGGGCTTTTTCACACCACTTGTCACAATAAAAGGTCTCAAGAATGGTCAAAGATAAGGTCAGAGATACCAGGAGGTCTATTTACTGCAATCTTTGTAACTATTTCCTTATTTTAAAGGCTTTGTTTTACACAGACTCCTGCTTTAATTGCCTACCACTAAATGGAGCCTCTGCAATTGTCTTAAAATAAATCCAAAGTTTCCTTTGCTTTGTCAAATATACCTGTCTTACGAAACAGCACAACCATTTTTATCAACGAACCGCAGCAGCATGATCGCTAGTTATTAGGATGTAATAACAGGATATAATGATGGTTAAATAACTACGACAAACGCACGTTCAAAAACTACTGTGAGGCTTAACTTCCAGCAAGATTTGCTGCCAGATCAGCTACCAGGCAGCAAGCAGCCTTTTGCTCTGAAACTCTGAGGCAAGAAATCAAGAGAATCCAAGAGAGTCACTTACCGGGTCACATTTGATAACTTGTGATAGGAAATGTGTGAGGCATTGATAGGAGAGGAAAGTGTTAGTGTCCCCCAGATGCAGGCCTTGCACAGCAGCTACCACACTGCCAGCTGCAATCATGGAAGGTGGGTTTGAAATAAATTTAACATCTGTATGAAGAGAGAAGAAGAAATAAAAACACATCAAAATGGTTTCTTTAGGACAAACCTTCTCATATACATACAGTCTCTTCCATCAGCACGGGCAGGCCTCAGCTGCCAACTAGTGCATCAAAAAAGGCAGGGAGGTTATGAATAGAAAGGTGCCCAAACCTGTACACACTTATCTGCAGGGGCAACTGTCCTTGAGTGAGTAGCCCTTCCTAGCAGTAGGCCCGGGAGACCACTCATCCCATCGAGATATTTCTATCATAGCAGGGCCTCCACTCTTCAGATGTTTAAATACTTCATTCACATGAATAATATTTTTCAGGTCAACAGCACTATAGATTTGAGAAAACCTGTTCACATTCTTAGTGTTTAAGTGTTTGGCACGACCAGATCTTAGATACACTGTAATAAGGAGACTCTGGGCCCTTTAAAGCACAAACCTTTACACTGACATTAAAAGAAATATAACTTTAATGAACAACACCAACAAAAAGAAAGGAAAAAGAAAGACTGCTTAACCCCGTCAGGAGGCAGATAATCCATATTTAAATTAAGGTTTCATCTTAAAAATGCTTTGTCTCAACCTAGTCTCTTGTCAGCGGCTGCCATCCATCCTGGCAACAGGGATTTAATGTAAATGTGGCATAACTAAGTGACGGGGGTCCCAAGAATTGGCGGACAATCAGTTACATTCTGATGTGACACCATGCTGACAAGAAGCTGGGCCCCCTTCCAGACTGCAGTGCTGTAGGTCTCTCCACAAAGCCACTCCCATGATTCCTTAAGGGGCTATCTCTGCCATTTAGCTTTTTTTTCACCCTTCTTAATAAGAATAATCCACATTTTAATGCTAAGACTCTTTCTGCTAAACAGGAATGCGTTTGATCCAGGGCAGCGTACACCTTGGAGAAGAATCAGAAACAAAGCAAATAAGTGGCACAGGCAAATGCCTAATTTTGTGCAGGAGAAAGGGGAAATGCCACATTATACACAAGAACCTGAGATACATTCCTTCAGCTTTTATCAGAATACAACTTCCTCTGGGTTGAAAAAATATAAACCATCTGTCAAACTCTTGAATGAAATCAAAGGAATGGATATCTTAGAGGGCTCAGTGGAACAGTTTAAGTATTAAATCATGCATCTCCTTTATTATGATAAAATAACTTTTGTGTAAATGTTTTACCAGTGAAACTAAAGGCCTTCAGGACTCTGTGAAAGTCCTCTCTGAATCTATTCAGACAATCCCTGACAGTCCATTGTAGCCCAACCAATACCCCACCTTCAAAAGGGCCGTTTCACCCACCGGCCTAGGAGCCTCCAAAACGAAGCTCATAGGATTAGTTGTGGCTGAATTTTTTGTGATGGAGGCAACAAAAGGCCCAACTGTATCTGAGGTCATCTCGCCTTTGTTAGCACGTGGAAAACCAATTTCACTTTTCCCCTTTTCCTAATCCTCCATTTGGTGACACATACAAACACATGCACCTCCCAGCAAACCTCTCCCTTCCCAGGTAGCTGGATTGTTTGGTTCTTGGCTATACACCCCTTCCGAAGAGCATTCCCTTAGGGAGACACTGATACATAGGTGCAGGTAGACTTCAGAAACAAGACAGAAATTTCCCCCACACGGAGTCGCTCCCAGGGGTACAGTGTCGGAGGGCCGCGCCGCTGTGTCCTCATCTCCACACGCAGAACACCTCCAGGATGCACCGCTAGGTGAACCCGTCCTGCCGGGATCACGTTTGGGATTAATATTTGCGTTTTTTTATTTAAATAGAGCGGTAAACAAGAGCATGAATTCATAGACACACCCTCATTCTTTCCAAGGTGGAAAAGTGATAATGAAGTTTAAATGACCAGTTTGTGTCTGTCCCTATAACCACTCCAGACAAGCAGCATGGACTGCCTTTTTGTTGCAACTCAACAAGGAATTATTTGTGGCAGAGGCCACTAATTTCAGCATATTAATCAGGGGGCCCCTCTCGCCTGTAATTGGATGCCCCCAAGTGAAGAGTGTGGCATCATTGTCAGCCTCCATCGCCTCATCTTGCGCTATTGAGCGCTCAGGAACAAGGGGGCTTCGGTGAGATGAATTAGACCTGACACAGCCACAATGGGGCAGGGGGCCCCATCAATTGAAGCACACATCCCCAGTAGCCTATCTGAGACTTCATCCAAAAAGAATAAACAACTTCAGCGTTGTTAAAAAGAGAGAGAGAGCGAGAGAGGAGGGGGAGGAGAGAGAAGAATGCCAGCCACCCTGAAGGGAGGACAAAGCAGGCATATAGGCGCTGCAGCGCTTTAAAAAAATTCCTAACAAGGCGAGTCACCCCTTTTCCTTTTTAAATGGAGCAGCAATTCCATCCGTCTGGAGAGCTGGGGGCTATGAATGAAAATCTTTTCATTGAGGCAAATCAAAACTGCGAACATAAATCACTTGCTGCAAGATGCAACAGGTTCCAACTGGTCACATACCTTGAGACTCCCAATTTTATAAAGGCCGGAGAATAGGAGAACTGGAGCGCAGTTGTTTCAAAGGGAGGTCTCTCTCCGTCCGAAAGCAACAACAATGACAGCAATAATAATAATATAAAAGAGGCCTGGTATGTTTTGATAACCAGAAGAGCATAATGAAACGCTGAAGCTCCAATATTTGTTGCTATTCATTGTTATGCTTGTATAGAGCTGCAGCTCTCCCTCAACACTGGTCTTAACTTGGGCCAAAAGAGGCCTGTTTCCTTTTGAGCTCTCCCTGCCTTGCTCGGCCATGCCAAAGCCTCATTCATTAAACTCAATTATGTGTTAACTTCAAACAACCCCTGGTAATTTTTTTTCTTTTTCTTTTTCTCTCTAACCTACCACAGCACAAAGACATCCTTCGGTGAAATATATTTTTCAAAACTAAACCAAATCAAACAAATCCACTTCTGCTAGGCAGCCAGCTGAAGAGGGAGCTTGGAAGGAATTCCCCTCAACTTCACCTTGCAGAGTCACCTCTCCTTCTGCAGCAGACGCATGTGCACACGCGCATCTCCAACCTGCCGCTGCCCTGCCAGGCTAGCAGCCCGACACGTCCTTTTCTGTGGAACAGAAAGCGCTGTTTTGCCAGGCCTTCTCATGACACCTGCCTTTAGCAGAGGACGCAGGCTCCATTCAAGCACCACATACACTGCTCCTGCCCCCGAGTGCACAGGAGTTTTACGGTGTTTCCAGTGGACTTTGGCTTGGGCCCCGCACCATGCGGGCAGGCACAAGGCGTTCGCAGCCCTCCTGCGTTCGCTCTGGCAAGGGGGAACGCAACACAGCCCAGCAACAGCAAAGCAAAGTCCAGATGCCACACGGTGTCTTCACGGCCCAACAAAGAGGCCGTGAGGAAACAAGACATACAGAAAACCCTCACATCCACAGAAACAATAAAAATACAGAGCCCAGTGGCAGCCTTCCTCAACACTGCGCCCCCAGGCAATATTCCCAACAGCTTCAGTAGGGAGTTGACGAGGGCCCCAGTTCTGGTGAGCTCAGCACTGTTGTTTTAAAACTAAGGAAAATTCCCAGAACATGGTTCCCATTTACTAATCCATTCTCCAGCTGTGGTGTGTAGCAGTGTTAAATAAAGGCTCTGGATGTGCTTCCTAAATGAAACGCAATGACACCAACAGTAGATCAAAGTACTGGACTTTTAGCAAGTCTCCAACCTTTGAACTACTCCTGTTTTCATCTCTGTCATTGCCAACACAACAACCGAGGTTAAATATCCCCAAATCCAAAGGGGAGGCCGGTAGCTTTCCTTTTAGCTAACAATTGAGGTAGCTTCTAACTTAGCAAATCATGTATTTGCAGTCCCAGCAGCCTTATTTAGTTTAATCTGTCATGAAGAGTATGTCTGATTTTCCCAAAATGTTGCTGCAGGTCCTCTGAAGGCTGTTTGAGTAGGGCAGCACTCTGAACATGGAGCATTATTCCAGGCTGGCTGACTTACGAATTGCCTCTCACTCTGATGTTAGGCCCAAGATGAAAAGCAAAGCCACTGTTTACAAATTTCTCTTTTACAGTTTGTTCTATCTTTAGGCCTTACAATAGGGCTGACTCTATGAAAGCAACATTTTCTTCTTTTTCTAAGTGCCTGCAATTTTTCTCAAATCTTTTGATAAAATCCATCTCTCTGAAAATAAAGATAAGACCTAATTTTTTGCTCACCAACTACACACATCCCACCAAAGTTTTCAAGTGTGGGCCACCTTTTCTCAAGTCCAAATGCACATTTGATTTCCTTTTTTTAGTATGTTATTAAATGTTAATATTCAGTAAAGCACTGTATCTCCTTTACAGTAAGTCTGTCAGCGTTAGCAAGCTGCCTGGCACTTCTCTTTACGTACTATTGCTAAAAAAATTTGCTTTGGCTGCTTTTACTTATTCTCTTGCCACTCCTGGGTTTGTCTCGTCATACTGAAAGAAAAATGCACTGAACATATTTGTTCAAATGGGGCATCTTCTGTTTTGAACTTCCTTTGTGCCCCCTCCTCCACTCTGTCCTGCGGGAACGGCAAGATCTGGAGAACAGAGAGACTCTCCTAAACTTTCTTCCTTCCCACTCGTTCGGGTTGAGCGGCTAGAGGCAGCGCCCGTACAAACGCACACACTCCACATGCAAACACGGAGCTTCAAAGAAAGCGCGCGCAGGCGCACGCAGTGCCCTTGAAACCAAAGATCGGGCCTCTGCAAACCCGGCCTAGCCAACAGCCGGCGTCTTTGGCTCCTCTGGAGGCCGCCCCTGCACATGGCTGCAGCGCAGCACGTGGTCAGAAGGGTGCAGATGGCAGAGACTCGGTCCTGTGCCAGGAAAGCCTCTGTGCCGCGTGGCCCTCCTCCAATCCAGCAGCCACAGAGGAGGGGGAAGAGGCAACTTGAAGAGGGAAGTTTTAAAACCCCCACGCAGAGCTATTCACAGGCGAACTCGTTCTTGCTCTCTCTCTGCGCCTTTAAAAAACGTCTTAAGAATGAATCCGCACAGAGGGATTCCCCATATGGGCAGTAAGTCTTTTGCAGCCCCGCATAAAACCTGATACGCAGAGGTGAACAAATCGTGCCACTCTGAGCGCAAACCCAACTGCAGAGCTACCAAGAAGGGCTGCTCCTGCCCCTCCAGAGCACAGGATCTCTGCTCGTTCAACTCAGAAGAGTATCTTCTGAAAAACTTACCTCCGCAAAGTAATCCACCTTCTGCAAACAACCAGGGGCAATAATGAGGGCTTAAATTACCTCCCCACAGCTCTGCGGACTCACTCTAGCCCACAGCTATGGGGAGCCTTACGAGCTGGGGGGCAGGTTTGTGTAAGGGAGCAACACGCCTTGTTTCATGTGCAGGGCTCATACCTGTAGCGCACAGAGCCACAAAAGTCTGAGCGTGTTTACGGATGATCTGCTTGGTGTCCTCTGCCAGAGGCATTTTAGTTAGGAAATGTTCAATGAAATCATGGGGGGTCATTGCAGCCAGATTCCATTTCAGCTTATTCACCAGCAGCAGCTCCATTTGCTGCAAAAACAAGAGGGAGGAGAGGGGGAAGAAGGGGAGGAAGAGGAGGGAAACGTGGTTAGCTCCGCTCACGCACAAGGCTGCTCCCCCAGGCAGCT